TGAGCTCTTTTAACTTCTCAGAGGCAGAACTAGGTTTCTCTGATCTGAAATTCATACACTGGGGATTCATATTTAAGGGAAATAATATAAATACAATATTAATTACAAAGTGACTATGTAGAGTGTGTGTGGGAACACAACAAATTCCTGGAGAGTTGGAAATCATTTTTCCAGAGATCTCATTTTTTACTGAAATCAGCTTCTTCTCTGCACCCATAGCCCACTCCCAGAAGTTCCTGCACTTAAATGGTCCCATGAAAGGGAAGGAGTCTGAAGCTAAGTTTCATTAGTTGCACAAAAATTCATTTATACTTTACTGTGTCCATTAGAGCATGGCACATCTCATACCTCTCTATATGACCTTCATATGGCCTCCTATCAGTCCTTGAAAGATTGTCTTTTCTCACCGCAATGCCATTTTTTCACAAAATGTCAATCTATGTTTTTAGGATTATTCTGTTCCTCTGGTATATCTTTCTATCATAAATATCTCATGATTTTAATTAATGTTTATTACCATGTGTCAAATTTATTATTTTAATTCCTCCAGCTGTGTTTCCCGACTTCACCATTGAGTTTGACTCTTTCTGGCCCTTACAGCACCTATTTGCATTTTCAACTTAGTAAAAGCTAAGCTTTGCTGGGTTTTTTGATAGGGATTATGTTTCATTATAAGTTAACATCTTTACATCTCTCATCTTTAATTTTTAAAACTATGTATTTGATACGCAAGTAGAAAAATTAATGGACTCTCCAAGCCATGGATGATATTGTAATCGGCAGACATGAGGTTGAATACTTAGCACATCTTTTACCTGTACTTGTAGCTTCCACGGAGAAGCCAGCTGCTCAGCCAGGAACAAAGCAGGTGCTGTTCTCCTAGCTTTCTGGCATGATTTCTCAGAGGAGAGCTGAGAGGTGGCAGGAAGAGCACTACACAACCCAGAGAATGAGGAGTAGGAAACCTATGATGATGCTTAGAGGAAAGATTGACAAAGGGGATGCAGCACAGTTTTCCTAGTTAGTGTGTGCGGTCTAACTCCTAAGTAGAGTCCTAGCAATGCAAAGATGTCTGCAGCTACAAGAATCACCTTTAAGACTTGCTTATCTCTCAATATTTTTCACAAACACAACACTCATGACTCTATGAACCCCCATCCTTATAATATTGTACTTGACTTGAGCTGAATAATGGGCACTTTTAGTATGTATGTGAACCCACAAAATGGGTAATAATGGGTAAATATGTTTTAGGTTAACCTTTCAAATGGTCCATAAGTGACCTCTCAATGGAATGGCAGTTTTGTATGGATCATTTTTTCTCTGTGAAACTGTAAAAAATTTGAATTTTTAAAAAAGCACTGATCAAAAGAAATGTGCTTCTCTGGATTAAATTAGCCAGTGTTGCATGTTAAGATGACATTATGAATTAAAATCTCACATTTGTATTTGAACTCATTTGTATTATTTTTACTTGAATGTCAAACTGTATGACTCAATTTTTCCCAAGCCAACTTGGATGTGTTCTGTATGAGTCTGACAAGCCTAGTTTTACAACCAATGGAGTCAACTGTTTGATAACAGAAAGTATTTATGTATAGAGCTATTTATTTAAAATACAATGTACTTAAACTTCTTTTAAGATACTCAGTTTAACAAGACCAACAAAATCCATCCTTAAGGTACATCTCTTAAAATATATATAAATAGATAATTAACAGTACTTAGTAGAAGAGCTAGACTTACTGTCAAATGTTTGAATTTTAGATATTGAAGGCAGAAACAAGAGAACACATCATCATTTTTGTTAAGAAAATGGCTGTGTAGATCTTTTAACTAGACTGAAGATAATATATAGCATTGTGATAGGTAAGTGCAGGTTTTAACAGTTAAGTGTAGAAATACAAATGTAGCACTGAACGAAAGGTTTACAATTACACCTGCATTTCCCTCATCCTATTCTGTCTCCCACCTTGATGAGTGAGGGTGAGGCCTGCATATCTGTACCCCCATAATTCAGGTTCTGATGCCTAATCCTCAAAGTGATGGCCTCTGGACAGAGCGTATATGGGAGGTGAACAGTGTCCTCAGAAGAGGTTTCAGAGAGAGAGCTCTGTCCCTTTCTGCCATGTAATAACAAGCAAAAATATTCATCAAAGTACAATACACATGTATGAAAATGTTATAATGAAGCCATTATTTTGGGTGAAGAAATATGCATGTTAGTGATCCAGGAAGATGTTAACAGACAACCAAACATGCCAGCACTTTGAGTACAGACTTCCCAGCTTCCAGAACTAGAAGTACATTTGTTTTATTATTGGCTCAGTTTATGATACTTTCCTTAGAATGGAGACTTACTTTCCTCTGATACACTTGGAGAAAATGGACCTGCTCAAGCAGGGACTCCTGAGGCTCCTCGTTCACATTCACATCTCCAATTCACACCTCCAGTGTACCCAGAATGTACCAGCTCTCACCAGCTTCACTGCTAATACTCACCATCTCTAGCTCTGAGATGTGTCCTAAAGTGTTTATTCCCTCAGTTGTTTACTCACGACCCACTGAACAACCACTGGTGGGAAACCAGTTTTAGCAGACACTGCTCTGGGAACTTTGGTACACAAATTGCCCTTACCATCTTTACTACAGGAATATCTTTACCCATTCTCAATCAGGATGGGTACACTGTGCCAGGACGAACTGCCAAGGCAATAAACAGAGTAAATAGGGCAAAATAATTCGTATTATTAGGTAAGAAAGCATTTCTCCAATTTCATTACTACGTTTCAATAAAATATTCCTATTATCCCAAATTGAGATATTTATAGTTTTGATCAGCTGTACATTAATAATAGTAAAATGATTTCACATTTTAAACATTATAGTTACAATAAATCTACATACATTCTCCCCACAAGTAAGTATGATAAAAAATAAACTTTCATACTACATAAGAATTCTGTAGCTGTTTCTCAACAGGTTATTAACGTTCGGGGCTGTTTAAATTGCTGGCTGGGAAGTTCTGTGCAATGTAGCGTCTTTGGCTTCTTCCCACTAGACACCAGTAGCACCCCACTCCCCAGGCTATTACAGCAGAAGTGTCTCCAAACAGTGGAATATAAAACTTCAGTCATAAAAAGAGATGAATGGTATCAACACACTATGATCTTGGGCTGACAAGATGGCTCAGTAAGTAAGGGAACTTGCTACCAACCCAACAACCAGAGTTCCTTTGATCCCTGGAACCCATGTGGTAGGGGAAGAGAACCAACTTGTGCCAGATTTCCTCTCCACACACATGCCCCATGAAACCCATGTGCCCCTACACACAAATAGGTAAAAAAAAAACCCACTATAGTCTTTAATTCTACTAGGTATATTTATAACAATGACAGCCACACTGGAAATTGCACATTGCCACTATTTGAAATAATGATCGAGTACTTTAGCTGGCAGTTTATGATCCATTAGTTGAAAGCATCTTATAGTTTACAGGAAAGGTGAGACATGCACATTAACATGTACTGATCTTTTCTAATCTCTGATTTCTCATGTAGTTCTAAAACATTTTTTTTTGTGAAGAAAGTATTGTATTAAACTCTTGAAAACTATTATCATGTCTAGAAAACGTACATGATCTAGAAAATGAACATCAGACAGCTGTGGTGGTACATGTCTCTAAATCCTTGCCTGGCACTTACAATGAAGCAGGAAGATCACAAGTTTCAGGCCAGCCTGGGCTACATGGCAAAGCTGTCTCATGTTGCCATTCCCGACCTCCCCCCAAATTCAGAGCTGTTAAACAAATGTAAACCAGTTTGATGCAAAGCAAATGTGTTGTTTTGCAAAATGCAACTTGCACAGAACAGTAGTCTTGTTTATTTACACTGCTCAAACCATGGCAATACAACACTAAGACTATCACAAGAATAGTTTAAGAATCCAAAATCCTTTTCCACAGTGTCTCCTTAATCCCTTTAGTTCTCACTTAAGTCTCTGATGCCCCAATTCTCAGCTTAATCAGTCAAGAATGCCAATCATAAGTCCTGACTGTAAATATAAAACTTAAGCCAGGAGTGGTGTTACACGCCTTTAATCCCAGCACTCAGAAGGCAGAGGCAGGTGGATCTCTGTGAGTTCAAGCCAGCCTGGTCTACACAGTGAGTTCCACGCCAAACAAAACAAACAAACAAATACTTAATGAAGTCCTTTTATTATTTTGTCAACTCTACATGTTACCTAGTACTAAACAGGTCTATGAAGCATACAGAAAAGGCACCACAGACAATACACCACAGCTTAGTAGTAACTCGCTTAGCTGACAGCTCAGCAGCAGTACGGCAAGGAACTACACAGTTCAGGTCTCCAGACTGCTCATTCCAAATACTTCAGAGGAAACCTTCATTGGAGTTTTCGCTTACATAACTCTGTTGTATGAATTTAGGGGGTGACTGAAGGGCAAATTAAATCAAATTCCAGCCAAAGGCCGCACGAAATGCTCATTTGTATCAAACTTTCAATCACTTTTACAAACTTTAGAAGACTGACATCTTAAAACCTGTCTGTACACCGCAGTATCACGTGACGATTGCTTCTGTGTTGAGCATATTTGCTAAGATGTTTTCCAGAGTTTGAACTCCTATATCACAAAACACAAAACATGAATGATAGCAGTGCTCTACCAGAGGACGGGTCTACACGCTACCATCACATACAGAAGATAAAGGGAAGTGACTGACAATCTAGGATGCCCAATTCTCATTAAGTTTCTGGTAAGAGCTGATCTTCACGGCATCTTACTATGGTTTTGCTCATCTGGTAACCACTAAAATGAACTCGGTGAAGGCATATCAGACACAAACCAGGAACCACTGTGATGGGACCGCAGTCTCGCCTCACTCGGTGCTACAGTAGACGGTGCTCTACTGGGACACCTTGGGAGGTTCCGCGGCGCCTAGACTCTCTGAAACTTAAACCGCGGTAACGGCTCGGCGCAGCCGCGTTTGTACCTGTCGGGTGGGGCTCTGGGACCAGCAGGCAGAGAGCCGCACCAGGTCGCCACGGCAACCACCGCAGCCCCAGCCATCCCCAGGGACACGGAACGGAGGGAAGCGGCCTAGGGCAGGCGGGAGACGGCGGCCGCCGCTTCCTGGTGCTCAGCGCTCCTTCCCCAAGCCAACACCGGCTCTTCCCCTGCGTTCTCGGCAAACCTAAGGCTCAGCTCCAAGGAAACGCCAGCCCGGTACTACTCGGGCTTTTTCCTGCGTTTCCCCCGAAGACCGGGATCTGGCCGAGGGCCCGCGAGCGTAAAGGGGGCGCGGGAGGAGGGGAGCAATCTGGGCCTTGCACTCGACCTCACCCCGCCCAGGCGCGCGCCACACCATATAAGGACTGGAGAAAGCGGCCCCGCCCCCCCCTTCCCCAGGGGTTCGGCTCCGCTCTCCCTCTGCCCGACCAATTGCGATCAGGCTCCGCCTCTTTACCCTAACCACGCCCCCAGGCCCCGCCCCTCCCTCTGCCCCGCCCGCAACCGTTAGGCCCCGCCCCGTACCCTAGCCCCGCCTCTAGACTCCTCCCCTCCGTTCCGCCCCCACGCTTGGGCTCCGCCCCCGAGCCGTGCGGGAAGGGGTGCCCTCTCCCTTTAGAGGACCTTTCCACAGGGCCCACCGGCTCGGCCCGCAAAGTCCGACAGTCACAGCGTATAACCGTCAGTGATGGTCCCCGCCTGCGGAGATCCGCGAGGGGCGGTCGGTACTCGGGCTCCGCCTCCCCGGCAGCCCCGCGAGCCCGCGCCTACGGTTCCCGGCGGCGCGCTCGCCCCGCCCTCGGCCCCGCCCCTCGCTCGGCTGCGCCCGTGCGTGGAACCTGGGCTGGCGGGGCGGGACCGCGGGCACCGCATCCTTCCCTCCGTCCTGCACTCTGAGCGTCTGCGACCTTCCCGCGCCCCGCCCCGCGTCGCCTCTCCGCGCGCGCCGTTCCCCGCCACCAGCCGCCGCAGCTCAGGAGCCGCGGGCGGGAGTGCGCGTGCGCGTGGCCGCGCGCTCCCTCCCCCGCCCGCTCTGCTATAACTTGGCCGGCGAGGAGGAGGCGCCGCCGGAGTCGGAGGGCGGGGAGCTCAGAGGAGGGAGCCCGAGAGTTGTGGAGAAGTCGCAGCCCGCTCGGCCGGCGCCTTCCCGCTCGCGGGCTCCGCGCCGGCGCGTCCCTCCCACCCCGCGCTCTCCCGGCCTCGGCGCGGTGGGGCGGCCCGGGGCTGCGCTCGGCCTGCCGGGCGCGCGGGCGGCATGTGGCGCCTGGTGCCCCCGAAGCTGGGCCGCCTGTCCCGCTCGCTGAAGCTGGTGGCGCTGGGCAGCCTGTTGGTGCTGATGCTGCTGCACTCGCCGTCGCTGCTCGCCTCCTGGCAGCGCAACGAGCTCACCGACCGGCGCTTCCTGCAGCTCAATAAGTGCCCGGCTTGCTTCGGCACGAGCTGGTGCCGCCGCTTCCTCAACGGCCAGGTGGGCTTCGAGGCGTGGGGCCGCCTGCGCCTGCTGGACTTCCTCAACGTCAAGAACGTGTACTTCGCACAGTACGGCGAGCCCCGCGAGGGCGGCCGCCGCCGCGTGGTGCTCAAGCGCCTGGGCTCGCAGCGCGAGCTGGCGCAGCTCGACCAGAGCATCTGCAAGCGGGCCACCGGCCGGCCGCGCTGCGACCTGCTGCAGGCCATGCCCCGCACCGAGTTCGCGCGTCTCAACGGCGACGTGCGGCTGCTCACGCCCGAGGCGGTGGAGGGCTGGTCCGACCTGGTGCACTGCCCGTCGCAGCGCCTGCTGGACCGCCTGGTGCGCCGCTACGCCGAGACCAAGGACTCGGGCAGCTTCCTGCTGCGCAACCTCAAGGACTCGGAGCGCATGCAGCTGCTGCTCACGCTGGCCTTCAACCCCGAGCCGCTGGTGCTACAGGTAGGCGCGGGGCTGCGGACCGCGGACCGCTCTGCTCCCGGACGCCGGGCACTGGCTGCGGCCGGCGGGGCTGGTCGGGGACCGTCCCGTGGGTCCCGACGCCGGGCATCGGTTCCTCAACGCCAGAGGGAGTGCGTCCCCCGCGCTCTCGAAACGTCCCTCTCGTGACTTTCCTTCCGCCCTCCCGCTGCGGTGCCCCCCGCGCGCTAGCGAGGCCCCGGCCGCCCCCGGCCCTTCCCCTGGCACCGCTCTCACTCCCGCCCCGGCCCACGCTGACCCTCGTGGTGGCTTGACTCCGGCCCCGGGTCCGTCTTTGTTGTGTTTCTCAGCCCATCTACTTGGTAGTCACTGGGCTCCTTCGGGGACCGGTCGTGGGGAGATCGGATCCGAGGACGGGACGGGGGTCGGAGAGGAGGGTTCGCGGGTGAGTCGAGCTCCGGAGAGACTAGAAGCCCGGAAACAGGCAAAGTGAGATAGTTGGATTGGGGCTGCGAAGGCCAAAGGCCGAGACGGCCGTTTTCACCCAGATCCTGTGACCGGCCCTGTTCATCTGGCTAAGGAAGAAGATAGAGTGTGAGGCCAGAGCCGGGGGTGGGGAAAGGGATTCTGGCCTTGGCCCAACTCACTCACTGGCTTGCTTCTCACTCTTTAAAATAAACGAACCTTTTAGGGGAGTAGGACGGAATCCCTGGACCGTTTTGCAGCAGGAAGGAAAAGCAACACAAACCCTGTGTACCTTTGAAGTAGTTTGGTTTCTGCGTGGCCCCCCGGCTCTTGGCTCTTAGTGGCCTGTCTCTGACAGTGATTGCACATGGGGGTGCGATCCCTCTTGATAACTGCAGGAAAAGTTAACGCTTCAGCGGCATGTCAAGTCCTGGGGAAAATGATCAAAAATTCATCACAACTGACTGAGATATAGTCAACCCTTTCTCCCGAGGAATGCAGCTAATGGCTGGGGATTGAACCGCGTTTTTTTGCAGATAAATCCAAAATGTTTGAATAGCAATGTATAGAATTTATATAGGTTTTGTTTTTTGAGTTTTTCACCGTCTTAGCCAGGAGAAACCAGCTTTGATGAGTTCAGCCAAATAATCTTAACACAAATTTTTTGTCAAACAAAATTTTAATGTGGGTAGTGGTAAGATTTAAGATGCTGTAAGGATGTGAATTAAAATTGAGATTGTTCATGAAATGCTTCTGTTCTGTGTTCACTTATCTTGAGGAATTATTTATTCAGTAGTTCTCAGACTAGTAGTTCTCTAAAGGTTGAGTCCATATGTATGAAGTATACACACTGGAAACTTTTTTTTTTTCCTTTTAAAGCTCTATTTATATCAGCAAGCTGGGTTCCTGAAGAGGGCTTTAGCAGTGTGTTGACTAAGGCGATCATCAAAGTCTCTGGGGCCCAGAAATTTAGCAAGGAGCTCAGGGATGTACATTTCTTGTATTTACCTTACTAGCTGCCTATTGAAAGATGTTTTATTAGGTGATTCTGAGTATTAGTGTATTAGGAACAGCTAACATTTGGGCAAATAGCTTAAAAACATTGTTTTTCTTTATAAACAGGATTGGGCCTGATTTTGAGAAACTTCTGATAGTGCTGTACCCAAGGCAAATCTGCCGATCAGGAACCTTTATTCTTTGACTTTCTCTTGGCATTTTCCATTTGTTTTATAGTTGAGATAATCAGGTGTGTTTATATTGTTCTGTCTTCACACTTTTCATCTTTAGTGATAACATTTTCAAATAATCCACAATTTTCTCAGCTGATTTGAGATAGTGAAAAAATTGCTCTAGGTCACGGAATCCTAAAGAGTACAGGACAGTATGTGAGAGAACAGATGAGTCTTGTAGACTGGCAGTGGAAAAGCTTGTCTTCATTTAGACAGCCTGGTTTCCAGGTTTAGTATCAATACTTTCCAGATGAGGCGTACTGTGAAACGCATTTTGGCATTTCTGCTTCCAGCAATATTGTCATTTTTTTTTTTCAATCTAAAATAGGTCTTCCTAGAGTTGTGACTTTCTGTCTTTGGTGGTGAGTTTGAAAGTATATGCAATGTGATTGATGATTGATGATGGATAGCATCACTCCAAAGGACAGGCAACCTGAATCATGATGTTTATTGCTTTTTGTTAGCTAGGCAAACTGTACATTTTTAGTATATAACGTTTGTATAAAACCAGCTGTTTTGGTAATATTGTTACTGATATTGATAGAAAAGTTCACTTAAATTTGCCTCTCTACTGATGTGCATTTTTGCTTCATGTCATTTAAAAGGTGTTTTTAGGGTGCTAGTGTTTCACTGCCTAAGGATTAGCTCACCATTTTTTTTTTTCCAGGAGAGGGAGCCACTTAACGATTTTTTGGATGCTTGATGACAAACTAGGTTTTTCTTATTTTCTATTGTCCAGAGTTTTGGGGGAAAACCCTTTTGAACTAACTTTATCAAACTGTTCTTCACGAAGGTTCCATATAATAATAATGCTTATAAGAAAATGTTTTTAAATGCTCCTTTGTTAAGATAGTAAGAGAAATGAAAAATACACAGGAATTTAGCTCATTGGCCTCTTCAAATTTAAGAAACAGCAAAAATTAAAACTTCTATTACGCTTTGAAAATAGAAGTGAAAGGTACTGTGGAGGGTACGCTCACATTCCTATGTTAGGCTAGATTGTGGTGTCCCAGTGCGAAGCTGAAGCTGTGTGGGTGTGCAACTGTTCTTAGTTCCTGGTTTTACCAGCTTTTAGCAGCTTATGTAGCTCTTAGGAAAGAGCCAGCCATGGAATTAATCTCTTGAAAAGCATCAAGAACAAGACATGCTGGTATCTTTATCTTCTCAGAGATTGTCTTTTCCTCTTCATATTCTCACTTACCAAGAAGTGTGTTTTAATGCCAAGTAAGGTGGTAGTGCTGTGGAGGGTGGAGGACTGGGAGAGAGCTTTGTTGATTTTTGTATTGTGTAACAGCAGTTTTTGATCACTAAAAAATTGAAGTGTCATAGTAATTGGCAGTTGTTTTACTGGTACATTTTCTGTTAGTGTATCTGCTTACTTACCTGTTCTTGCACTTACGGAGGGAGGGGGTGGGGCTGTCTGAATTTCTGGAAGCCCACTTGCTGTTGGATGCCCTAGAGCTGGCAATGGGATGGTCTCAGGCATAGAGACTGGAAAAAGCTTTGGTTGTTTTAGGGCAGAGCTGAGAATTTGCTTTACTATTACACTGGCAGAGCTAGCTTCATTTGCCTTCCGTTTTATGAATCGTAGTTTTTACAGGACTTAATTGTTATAGTGTGCAATCATTTAGCTGTGGCTTTTAAGTCTTCATTTCACTTCTTGTAATTGGCAAATGCAGAGTATTTGTGTAGGTGTCAGCGCTGAATGAACCTTACAATAAGGAAGAAACAGTAACTTTGATCAGTTGTGCTATTGGCCAACTCTTTGGAAACTCATTTGGCGTATGAATGGTCTTTACCTGATGGAAACTGGTTGTGAACTGTTCCTTGTTTATGCTGATTTCCTCCATTCTTTCATAAGGGATGAAGTTTAATAGAGAACTTTGGTGTTTTTGCCTTAACAATAGCTTATACTAAGAAGTGAATTGGAATTTTTTTGCTGTTGTATCAGCCTGTGGCCAGAGCTTGCCTGAAATTTGATATGTAGACCAGGCTGGCCTCCATCTCCCAGAGATCCTCCTGCCTCTGCCTCCTGAGTGCTGGGATTAAAGGTGGGCCTGGCTCTTGATCAGCACTTTTTATGTGACTCACGTACTTCCCTGTTAGTCAAGTCTATAGGGTTAGGTCCTTTTCCTTTGCCCTAATATCCTGGGGACTGACTCAAATTTTTGACTTGAGAAATTTGGATTTTGTTGTTTTCTGAGTTTGGCTTTAATTAATGGATTTAATTAAGCTTTGGGTACTAGGTCTAGTGAGTTTGAGACCAGGACAAATAATCTTTCAGGCTTTTTTTTTTTTTTTTTTTTAAACCAATATCCCTAAATTTTTACACACTTGAAGTCAGATTACACCCAAACAAAAGCCCTTCCTTTAAGGACGGGAGATCAGGCATCAAACATCTTATGCAGCGGTAGTGCCTAGAGAGGACGTTTTCTACTTTAGAGATCGTCAAGCAGTAGTTTATGGAACCTCCTTCATTTTCTCCCTTTCACAACTGATTTAATAACAGCATTCATGGAGTTAGGGCTCAGAACACATGCCAGGCTGATGCTTATTTTGGTGCTCAGCCTCCAGTGCTAGGATCACAGCTCTGCATCGTTTCCTCCCGCAGGATGGAGCCCAGCACCGTTTGTCTTAATGAGTTCATAAGCTTTTGAGTCTTCTGTGTGCTTTTTCCATTTTTTTCATTTGGGGTTTCATGTACAAATTTGCATACATCAAATCCAGAAAAGAAGGGAGACTTTTGTTTTTAGGAAGGCCAATGAAGCATACTCACCCTTAAGAAAATGTCACTTAGTATTTCTGCTGCTTCTTGATACTGCTGTTTGTGAGGGTTGCACTTTCTGGTCATGGTGGCTGGTTAGTTTCCCAGGGGACTGTCAAACTGAGTTTTGTTCAGTTTTCCTGGCTTGTGGCTCTATCCTGTGTCCCTGTCATCGCTATTAGGACCTCATAGAGTGCTGACTTTTTATTTTTGTACTTTGCAGTCATTACCTGTATATTAAAATAATGAGAGCCTTGGAACATAAAAGCTTGCATTTTTCTGACACATACAATGAATTGTAAATGGTTTGGAAATACGTTAAGAGTAAAAATTGTGAGTCTAAGATAAGGGTAGTTACTCATCCTAGTAATAAATCCTGGAAAGCTTTATTTTACTTACCTGTTATGTATTTATTTAAGCAGGGTCTCATGTAGCCTAGCCTGCCCTCGAACTCCTGATCCTCCTGTCCTACCTCCCAAGTGCTGGAATTATAGTCATGTGCCACCAATTCTGGCCTTTGGAAAGTTTTATAAATTACATATTAAATTCTTTTACACAGTTTG